CCATGTACCTCTTTATGTCTTTCTCATTCTCAATGGTGCCATATTGGTCACCCACATTTAGTACATGGCCCTTCTCTTCACACAAATCAATACTTATCTCTATCTATCTAACATCCTTCTCTCCCCTCCCCTCCCACCCCTGGTAACCAACAAAGAAAATTTCCTTCCAAATACAAACCCTTCCTTGACTTTTTACAACAATGAATACAATATTTGTCTTTTTGTGATTGACTTATTTTGCTCAGCATAATGTCCTCCAAGTTCATCCATGTTATGCGGTGTTTCGCAGATTCTACATTATTCTTTAGTGCTGCAAAATATTCCATTGTGTATATGTACTGTAGTTTGGTTATCCATTCTTCTGTTGATGGACACTTAGGTTGTTGCCATCTTTTTGCTACTGTAAACAATGCTGCAATGAATATGGGTGTGCATACATATGTTCTTGTCCTGGTTCTCACTTCTTTAGGATATATACCTAGTAATGAGATTGCTGGATCAAATGGTATTTCTAATTCCAACTTTTTAAGAAATCATCACACTGCTTTCCACAGAGGTTGTATCATTTTACAGTCCCACCAGCAGTGTATGAGAGTCCCAATCTCTCCATATCCTCACCATCATTTATTTTCTGTCTTGTTGAACTTTGTTATCAGTTCTGGGGCAAGATGGTATCTCATTGTTGTTTTGATTTGCATCTCTCTAATAATGTTGTTGTTGTTGTTAGGTGCTGTCAAGTCATCTCCGACTCATAGTGACCCCATGCACAGCAGAACGAAACACTGCCCGATCCCGCACCAGCTCCATGATCGCTGCTATACTTGAGCCCATCACCGCAGTCACCTTGTCAATCCATCTTGTTGAAGGCCTCCCCCTCTTTCGTCGACCCTCCACTCTACCAAGCATGATATCCTTCTCCAGGGAACGGTCCCTTCTTACAACATGACCAAAACAGGTGAGACGAAGTCTGGCCAGTCTCACTTCCAAGGAGCATTTCAGCTGCACTTCCTCCAGAACAGATCTGTTAGTTCTTTTAGCAGTCCATGGTACTTTCAGCATTCTTCGCCAGCACCACAACTCAAAAGCATCAACCCTTCTTCGGTCTTCCTTATTCATTGTCCAACTCTCACATGCATACGAGGCAACTGGAAATATCATGGCTTGTGTCAGGCACACCTTAGTCCTCAAGGAGA